AATTTTTCAATTTCCAGATAATCATATGGTGATGTTCTACTGTCTTTTATCTTCATACTGGTCTCCAAAAATTTTGAATCGGATAAAAAATAAAAAAGTTATGGATATTTGAAGTTATTTAATTAACCCTTGAAAAATCAAAAGAAATGAGAGAAAATCTAAGAAAAAGTCTAAAGTGTACCTAACTTCATATATTGATATATTCGATACAAAATAGCAAAATTATATATTTTAAAGGTATTATATGTATATTTCACCCAGATATTCTATTCCAGTTAAAATCACAAAAACAAAAATTTTATGCCTATACAGTAAAACTTGCACAAGTCTCATCGTGTAACTCGTCACATCGCATAAGTCGTCATGGAAGTCAAAGTCCCGATTTTCTCTCATAGTAAATCCATTGGAATAGCCCTGCCTAAGTCGACATTTATAAGCCGTCATTATGTACAAGGCGTCGCCCTCATGCAGACAGGTCCCATGTAATACAAACAACAGTAATTTCCCATCTGTAAGTCGTCATCAGAAATGCCGATGGCGCAGTGTACGATCTAGGGGATGTACGAGCTGGCTGTCGCAGATATGCGCCAATGTGTAATCAACAGCGGGTGTTACAGATAGCCCAGTTATGCAGATATTATAAACCAGCCCAGATATGCCCCAGTTACAATAATGTAACCCAACAAGAGTAGGTTGTGTTGGTTGTAGTTGTAATGTAACCCTACTCTTGTTCGGTTACACTATTGTATCTACCATATATACTCGCGTAATAACCGCAAATCTGGCCTCAGATTTCAAACCTGTATTTGCTCTGCGGTTTATAAGTGCGCCATACCGTGAGGGGAAATATACTAGGCGCAATACTTTGTTACCCGATTCAAATTGAGGTGCGGCTTATACTGTATAGGCGCCCGCGGTTATTACGCGATCATATACGGTACTGTCATGGCGTGCCGCGCTTGCCGCTAGTGCGTACGCTGTACGTGCGTTATGGACAGCAGTGGTGTCGATTGATGTACGGACCGATTGTTTCATGTCTGCTATGTATGTGGCGCAAACTGACGTCGTGTGTGGAGCATGTTTATGACTGCGTAGGGGTGACGGGCACCTGGGAGGGGAGCCCTACATATAAGTCGACAAAATGCGTAAGTCGGCCCAAATATGCTGGTCCCAAAAGTGTCGACTTATGCGAGTTTAATGGCCCTGTGACGTGTCACACCTTGACGATTTAGCCAGCGTATGCCAACGTATGGAAAATTTGGCGAATACGCTGGCATACGTCGAATAAGTTATGGGTAAGTTTTGTTTAAGGTAAGAGCACGCTGAAGCACGCTGAAGCACGCTGGTATACGTCGTAGTACGGCGAGGTCGACGTATGCCAGCGTATGCCCATACGTCCCGCATACGCAGGCCATAAGTTGTAGGTAAGTTATGCGATCATTGACACACGTTCACACACGTTACTTGTAAGTTACTCGTAAGTCGATATACGTCGAGGACTCGAGATAATGTCTAGCGTACCCAAAACTTATTTCTAACCTATGAGTAACGTGCTTTGAACCTATGTGTAACTTATATCGAACTTATCTCCAACGCATATTGACGTATGTAGACGTATTGGACGTGTTCCGGACGACCACAGAACTTACTGAACGTGTTTCTAACTTACAGCTACCGTATAATCACTATAATGGCGTATTGGCAGCGTTTAGGGGAATTGGTATATACAAATGGTATTGGCATGTTGATACTGCGATGTCTAGTGCGGTTATGAATTGAATGTCGAGCGGCAGCCTTTTTATAGGCTACGACACGTGATCGTCGGCGATACGCATAAGTTAGACTATCGTTGGACATAAGTTGTGAACGCCGGCAACACGCTAAGCATTCGTTGGTATAAGTTATCTTTAAGTTATCGAAACGTTCTATCTACATTACTAACTACTGTTATGTATACGTCCAACTCGTTATGAATACCGCTATGTATACGGCCAAAATTTAAAAAAACATCGATAGTTCAGCGTATGCCAGCGTTTTAGAGAAATTTTGATACGGTCGCGGTATACGCTGGCTTTCATACGGGTGGGTGTGACGGCGCCATTACTGTATAGTTAAAACCACACATAGCGTAAATAATAATGTGCGACTTCGCAGTTCCGAGTCATTCGGCTATAACGCGGTCACATATAGCTATCACTCTCAACAACCAAGACATGCTCTGGTAAGTAATTACCAGCTTCAATCATTTCTATTTTCCATCATCGTGACCATTTATTCTTCAGAATGAATTTTTGGTGAATATAACATTTATGTACGTAGTCTTTGCCTTCGACAAAAAAAATATTAAAAAATTCAAACAAGTCTTTGCACACTTACTTGCACATTAGCCAGTACATGTAAGGCACTACAAGGTCAATGGAACTTCGAGTAGCTGGGTTGCGTTAGTGCCATCTGTTACGTTCAGTGTCGTGTCTAACGTAAGGAATAGTCGATGTCCCTGATGAGTAGGCCTGCAACAGACAAAGTACAGTCAGAGATGTTACACTCTGTAAAACTCTTCAACATTCAGCAACAGTGTTGGCTGTTGCTAGAAACAGGATTACAGAGCATGGACTAACCACCAAGGTATTTTATTGCCGTAAATTCAGAGATGAAACTTTTGCAATCTTAACAATACGGGTTTCCTGCAGTATTTGCCTAGACTGGCATATGCCAGCATAATTACACTATATAGTAGATAGGATTATCAGTACTAGCATTAATATTCAGTTTAAACAGGTGGGCAATTTCAGTTAGTTAAATAGTGGCCATTATGTCTCAATTTAGCCATTAGCTAGAGTACGTACGGTAGGCATAAATAATGGGTGCAAAAGGTACTAGCCCTCTCCTTCAAATTCTACTAATCTTATTCCTGATTACCTTCATTTTATGTTTATTGTTTTGCTACACCAGTTTATGCTTTTTTTCACGTGCAGCATCAAATTGTAGACGTTTGTAGCACTCCGTTGGCTAGCACAATCTTTTTAAAATATCGTAACACACCAATCTTTTCTGCTAGAACGTCTTGCTATTCACTTGTGGAGGGGGGGGGCAACTCACAGGGTTCGATTATCACATGTGCCATAGCATGGTTCATACAGGACTGAAATTTGTTTCAAGGACTTTTCAAGGACATTTTATCGGAATTCATACACAGAACAAAACATACCTGGATTAATTTAATAATAACCCCATTCCTAATCAGTGCTCGAAATAAGAAAAAAATGTGGTTGTCTTGCCGGACAACCCAGCGTATCAAATCGGGTTGTCCGCAACAATTTCTGGGTTGTCCCAAAAAAATATCCCCAAATCTCCTATTTTCAATCACTAATAATATGGTCAGAAAACACCCAAAAACAGCGGTGTAGCCAGGATTTTTTTACAAGGGTGGCCAAAAACAGCAAACTGCCGCAAATATGTGGATGAACTAATATTTTAATGGCTCCTCGCCCTCCCTCTCCACACCCTACAGCTCCTCTACTTCTCAGCTCTGCAATCTGTTGTTTGGGGTGCCATGTGAAAAAGCGACATTTTTGTTCACTTGTTCTCTGCTCCCAAGATATGTAATTGTTCAGTGGCGGGTCTGGGGATTCAAGAGGGGGTGAAAACAAGCGGGGGAGGGGGTATGGGGTCCTCCCCAGAAAATTTTGAAAATGTAGATCGCAGGAGATTGGTATTTGCCGCTACTTTTGAGTACATGTACAGCCTTCATCTGACTACGACAATTCTCTCTTTTTTAATTTCGGATCAACATGAAATCCCCACTGCATGTTGTTTGTTTTGCATGGGCAAAAAGCCATCGGAAATTCAAAAATAACTATGGAATAAAAATACAAATGCTAAGGGTGAACTTGCTGGTTTGCTGCGTTCCAATCGAGTTCACCTCTCATAAATCAGAAAACCTGACATATACCAGTGTTGGAAATAGCAGCTTGGTATGGGTCGCTTTCCCACACCATAGATTAATGGAGGGCCGCCAGGCTATAAGTGCTCTTGGAGAACACACTGAGAAAACATAAATAAAGTGCGTTTTTTCGTTAACTTTTTCTTGGTGTCCACCGGACAATGTCTCAGACTGGTTAGGTTGTCCGGCACAAATTCTGGTTGTCTCGGACAACCGGACAACGCTTATTTCGAGCACTGCTAATCACTGTCACCTCTAAAACTTACTTGGATCACATTAATAAACCCTTCTAAACACTGTCATTTCTACAACATACCTTGATTTATTGACTAATTTTACTGACTTGCTGTAATTTGTGATCATCATTTAACTGTCTATCGTGTCTATAGCTTTTTAAGCTCATTTAACGCAATTTTTATTGAGGCTTGCACATTATTGATGGTACAAAATTTCTTTTTATTACAGGCAAGGATTCTTTCTAAAAATTCAAGGACTTTTCAAGCACAAAATCACCATTTACTAAATTCAAGTACTTGTCAAGGACTCCCCTCAAATTCAAAGACTTTTCAAGGACTGTGCGAACCATAGATTACTCCCCTGTAGATCACCAAGGCTAGCATGGCAAATGTGGCAATCGATTTGTCACTACTTACCAGCAATGCAGGCAGACATGAAGCAGGCAACCGTGCCAGCAATCAGCGCACGGACTGCCAACCCGGCTAGCTCACTCTTCCTAGATGGCGCCATCGCGCCGAGACCACCAAGAGTCACCCCGATAGAGCCCAGATTTGCAAACCCGCACAGAGCATAGGTGGTGATTGTTTCAGAACGAATCTGCCGAAAAAAAATGCCAAAATGGAATGTACCTACTGATACATATACTGATATATACCGCCACACAATGACATTTGCTTATGATCCTACCCGTCTTCCCCACTTTATTTAATTTTACCAAAACATTTTTCAAACGTTAACAGTGCATATGATCACAATATATAAAGTAGAGAATGCTAAATAACTCGCTGTTTAACAACGCAAGCAAGTCACACAAATTGCACTAAAAGGTATATACCTCTACTGCAACAAATTTAATTGGCTATGATTTATACCATGATCTTTACATGCAGTAAACATGTATTAGAAGAGTTAAAAATACTCTTTAATGAACCGTCCTAGGTGATGATAACAGCGTTGGAGCCATCTGCAGATGACAATGCTGTGAATGGTGTAACTGTCTTCTTAAAAGAGGTTTGACTTGGGTTAACAACTATATTTCATAAAACTTTACTTACATGATATAACACCTTAAACTTACTCACATAACAGATCAGCTAGCAGCCAATGTTTGTACAATATCTTTACATGACACTAATTTTAAACAATATAGCTGTTAGTGATGTCCCGGTGATCGATTATAATCGAAAGTCATTCGTTTGCAGCTACCAACTAAGCGCTCGATTATGAAAATAAATAATCGATTATCAATTTTTTTTACAAACATGAATGAAATGACTCTTTATTTCATTTTTGTGTTTTTTGGTTACTTCACAGCTTAAATATAACCTACACCAAACTAAACATAAGCAAGTATAATACTGTTACTGTGTTACATAGCTTTTACAATATTGTATTATAAAAAATACTGTACTATATGATATATGATATATCTCAATATCTGGTGGCCGTGATCAATAACATTCAACCGATTATCTTCGATCATCGATCGATTGGACGCAACCGATGATGGATGATAAAATTCCAATTGATTCCCATCACGAATAGTTGTTGACCAGAACCAAACTTACTCTTTAAGTGACAGGCAAATTACACCATGGGTTCAATTATTTGACTAGAAACGTAGTAGATTTCACTAGAGGATGCATTGATTGCAGACACTTACCGACATGCAAGGGTGATCTTGAGAGCAAGTTCCAGATTCACGATTTATGATGAATTCACCAAGCCGATCATACGCAATGAATTCATTCAGAAACGTCTTTGTGCCAAGTAGTTCAGCCACTAGGGCACAGTCATTCCACTCCACACCCATCAGAAACGCGAATGGACGGAATATGTAGGAGCATAACAACTGCAAAACATGCACGCGTAGTTAGAGATAGAAAGTGAATTACAGTATATTGGTTTGAAAATAGAAATTAGATTAAAATCAAACAGTCTGCAACAAAATGATCCCGAAAAGGTATTTTAAACACATTTTCAAGATTACCTCAAACGAAAGCTCCGGGAAATCAACAAGACTGCCGAAATATGAGAGAGCAGCATTGACAAAGTACAGGACGCCTAGGAACCCAAGGAGGTTGGCTGCGATGTGAGCGACAATCTTGATGGATGCAGACGCTCCAGCCGATGCTGCTTCAATGATATTGCGCTCCTTTCTGCAGCGAGAGAGATATAAGTATAGAAATGCACATTTCAGGTTGCAGTATCTCCACATCGAACAACTAACATAAACATTGTTCTCACCCTTTAGGCATCTCGACATCTTTAATGTTTTCCATCTTCGACACCTCGGACTCAGGGTAGAATAGCTTGGAGACAGCCAAGGCTCCTGGAGCAGTCATTACTGATGCGGCTATCAGATGTGAAGCTGGCACCTAGCGGTTGTGCACGAAATAAACAAATCAATGAGCACGTGATCGGCTTTCTAGCGAGCAAATCATAGCTACCATACACAACACGAGTTACAGTAACTAGATAACTTCTCTTACTTACTTTACCCATGATCTACCATTCGTTACAGAAGTCTATAGTTAGTTAAATGTTCAGTGTATAATAGTCTATATGACTAGTTAGTGCTGTCAGTTAAGAATTTACCCCAAAGCCGATATATGCGGCTAGCACTCCACCAGCTATGGTTGCGAAGCCCCCAGTCATTACAGCATGTAGCTCTGAGCGCGTCATGTTTGGTAGAAATGGCTTTATCAGCAATGGTGCCTCAGTCTGCAAAGCAAAAATAAACACACATCACAGGGTTTCTTCTGGGGGAAAATTAGACAACAGCAGTAACATTTGGCCGGTTTGGGGGAGAAACTCAAATCGCATAATGGATTCAAAGGTGTGTTTGCGCGTCTCGAGGACCTAGCAAAGCGAGCTCCATAGGAGCTCGCCCAGCTAGGGGGGTCCGGGAGCATGTTCCCCAAGGAAATTTTTTGAAAAAATGGTGCGATTTGGTGCATTCTAAGCTATTCTGAACACATTGTACGACTCTTGAATCTCTTTTTCAAGTTGTCAAAAGGAACAAATAAACTGAATATGAAATGATACAAGTATTCACATTAAATAGTAATACAGTCATGAAATGAATAGGCACGAATGTGGATTCTGCAGACAGACGTGGGGCAGAGAGGTAGAGGGGGGGTTCTGGGGGTCTCCCCCAGCAAAATTTTAAAAATTTGAATGTCTTAGACTGCATTTGAGGCAACCTGAAAATAGAATTTCAGTTTAAATCTTACTCTGTTAACAGACCTACGCCTTTTGCGGGAGACTCACGCACCTGGACCTATTCTCCCACACGCCCTACACATTCTCACGAAAAATTAAAAAAACTATGTAACACTTTTAGAATTAAAGTTTTTATGTCATAAAATTTAATTTTGTCTTCTTTTCTTCGAATGCTAACAGAATATATGTACTGCAAATACATATTTTAAAACCAATTATTCAGAAGCTGGTCGTGTTTTGTATATATTCTGAACCTCCAGCATTATATTCCCAAAACGACCCATTCTCCAGCAAAATCTCCCGCCCGCACATGGTGCACATTCGGCGCTGAGCTAAACGCGACACCCCTGTTACCCACGTCTGTGGCAGTGCACATCGTAACGTGCTTGCTGGCTGGGGCGTCATTGATTGAAGCACCTGGGGGGGGGGTAATTAATGCACGGCTTGTTAGTCGCGTGGGCGTGCTTATTGCTGTATATGTAGGGGTGGGCACCGCTGGTATGAGGGAGCGGCAGCAAAACTTTCCCGGAATCGAGGGAAAAGCTGCAATCGGGAGGAATGACACACGAGTGTGCCGGCACGCAAAAAAAAACGTTGCTGTGAATTTCATTACGATTTTCCATGTTTATAGTCAGAAGCACGTGGTGATCTATATATTTTTGAATTGACACTATTTTGACAGGGGCGGGTAAATACAGGAACATTTTCACAATGGCGATGTTAAAATTGACAACGGCGGTGCGCCGTAGTGCCTCCTATGTAGAAGAAACCCTGCATCATCGTATAACTGCGATTGTACAACACTTTGCGGAGCTGACACAAGAGTGCCATCTTCTTCTAATAGGATCAGCTAGCCTTATCTACTGCACCAAAAAAACTGCGAAACTTGCAAATCAAACATATCAAGCTAACATAAACATGCAATAATAAGAGGAGCTTGTCTACTACACACACACACACACAAAATTAAAATAGAAATATAAGAATAAAAATATGAAGCCATATGTCCAACTGTAACCATGTCAACTTAACTGACAGATACCACATTAATCTAACCTACCTGTCCAATGAAAATGTTGGCGGCAGTATTTACAGACTCTGCTGCAGTGGTTCCCATAATAATCCTCATACCACCAGCAATGATTTTTATGACCATCTGCATGACACCCAGGTAATACAGGATCGAGATGACAGTGGAAAAATATACGATGACCGGCAGAATCTGAAAACGAATAGCGCGTTAATAAGGAATCGGCATCAGTAATTATGTAGCTGCAGTATTAACTGAATACATAATTGCAAATTATCTGCATTTCTTCCTGTAATGGCCCAGTCACACATACACGACGCACGGCCCCGCGCACTGAAAAATTAGCAATTTTGGACAGTGCGTTGTCTTTTGCTGGGTGTGCGTCAGCATTCGTTACTCGTTCGTCGAGCGCGCTGGACCAACGCTATGCATTCGTTGTCATTCGCTGTGTGCGTCGGCAATTTTGTGCATGCACAAAAATTTGCATGCACAAAAATGTGCGTGGAGCTCGACGCATGAATGTACACGCCAGAAGGACGCCAGACACGTGCAGAGCGCGCTGGACCAACGCCAGACACACGCGGAGCACACGCTGGGTATTCGTTGTATGTTCGTCGGCTGAGGTGTAGCGAACACCTAGCGCACACCTAGCGTGCTTCTAACGCATGTCCAGTGAACATGCAGCAAATATGGGCGTGCTGAACGAGTGCTGAACGAGTCTGTAGCGCGCCCAGCGTTCTTCTAGCGTGTACGCAGCGTGTAGCCATGGGGTATATAAACGGGTCCCACCCCCACCTCCTCATCATCACTTCTCCTCCGACCCTCATGGGTGATGACAGAGGTTCCTGCTGATCGTGTCTAGAAGAACCACAGAGAGCCACGCGCATCCCAGCTCGAATGCGTTTCCTCTCTGCGGCGGAGCAGAGCCGGGGGAGTACCGGACCCTGGCCTGCGACCCTCCATCCTCGCCCGCGCGATCGTCTGCCTCTGCGGACCCCGTACACGCCCCACAGTCATCACCCTCTGGAGAGTGTTATCCATACAAGCACCACCACAACCACACCCCTGGTGGAGGGTGCTCACAACACCATATGCCCTGATACATTACCGTTTCGTTCCTGACCTGACTGTTGATGCGCGACCATTCGTTCCGTGCGCTAGCAACACACGGGCTGTCGCATTCGTTGGAATTTTAACTATGTGCGCCCTGTATTACCGCAGTGCAGCACCAGCCACACACACACGACCACACACAGCACACACACACACACACACAACAGCTGCATTTGGTTGGTGATAAGATTACGGACAACGCTATCCACATGCAGGTTCATAAAATCCCAGATGAGACGGGATACTAGAGAAGCTTTGCGCACTCCAGCAACGAAGACTGTGAGGCATGGGTGTTGACAGTCGTTGTCACAAGTCGCTAGCTTCTGCGCCAAATCTTTGACACAATATTGGGCGCACAACGACACACTGATCTTATTTTCCATTTTGTGATTAATTTTCAATGCGCTGGCCGTGCATTGCGTATGTGTGACTGGGCCTCTTTACCAGTGAATTTCATACATTCCAGTCATCAACGTATACACACACTGCCACTGTTTTATAGCGAAACTTCTTGTCAAGACGTAGCAATCATGGAAAACCCTTAAGCCTAGGACACACTGTGCGATTTTTCTACGCTGGCGCTTGCGATCCGGCCGATCGACAAATACGGTCCGGTGCGAAAAAACAACCGGGGCGAAAATATTCAACAATGTTGAACTACGAGCGAGC